TTCAAGACACTTGACCATATGAGTGGTAGGACCAAAAGAATGTTCTAGTCATGAGCTAAGACCCACAAACCATTCAAAATATGCTAGACAACATAAAATTTACCAAATTTGGAGAAAAAGATTTTTTTTGCAAATAATACAAAATTTAAGGAGTAAACTGTAATTTTTGAAAAGTATAGGGATTTATTTGCAAAATTTTTGATAGATATTTTATTTACATAGAGGATTGAATTAGGAGAAATTTTCCACTTGTTTTGTTCAATTTGGATTTGAAATGCATTAATTATAATTTTTTAAATATTTTGTTGTATGAAAATGATTTTCATACAACAACATGAGATAAACTCTCTTTCTTTTGAAACCCATAATTGTCATTATTTTATCTATATTGTTGTATAAAAATAGATATTTAAAGGAAAATATTTCCACTGGTTTTGTGATTGTTGGACTTGAAATAAAATAGTTATGATTTTTTCACTAGACTAATATAGAAAAGTAGATCTCTATAACCAACAGAGAGGAATTGTGCTTCATTTTGAAATTTATAAGTGATGAATTTCTGTGGTATTTTATTGTAAAACTAGATGTTTAAAGAACAAGAATGCCACTAAATTGCAAGATTTTTGATATTGTATTGAATGATATATGATTTTCCAAATATTTTGTTGCTGAAATGTGGTAATCTTTGACATAGAAATAAAAATTAGAACTTGAAAGGATATATGTAAATGTCTAAATTGTGAAAGTATTTTTATTTGAAAGTAGACATGTTGAGGAAAATAACCTCATTGCTTTCATGAATTTTGGAATTGAAATGAATTTGTTATGAATTTTCCAATATGCTAGGTACTAAGAAGGATGATCTATGAACAACAAAGAGAAACTAAGTTTTGTTTAGTTTTCTGGAAATGTCTAAATTTTTCTTGTATTTTTATATGAAATTATAAACTTAAAGAAAGAAAACTCCTATGATTTTATAATTTTTGGACTTGTAATGATTTAGTTATGAATTTTACAAGTTGGTGTATGAAATTTGAAAAATTATGATTTTGGCCATTCCATGAGATTGATTGTTCTCTTGATATAGAGATGTGATAATGTACCTGTTGGACAAAGTAGTGGTTGTAATGTTGTTTGTATTTTTTATTATGAATATGAAAGAGGTAGAATACGCCATGGTGTAGGCGAGGAATAAATAGTGTTGGTGCAACCATAGGGGATATGAGAGTGCTTAAGAACTATAGGTGGCCAAGTATTACTAAATTGTGTCATAGGCAGCAAAATATTGTTAGCATATCCTGACAAACACTAAAGTATACTATGATTGGTTTGAGTGTTAGTTATTGGTAGTGACCATAAAATAAAAAAATGTGTACCTATATTTTGTCTTAAGTAAATTGAGAAGATGTACATATGGTACTAGCCGAACTACAAATACAAAGCTTCCAGTCTCAACTTAAAATTGATAATTTTGGATAATTAATTAATTACTCCATGAAGAATTCACAAACAAAAGACATTGAAATGATTGATTGGTTTGTTGATTGTTTGATTGATTTTTTGGATGTATTTTTATTCATTTGAGAATAAGTATTGCCTTGTGATATGATTTATGAATGTTTATACTTATCTCCTTTTTATTTAATATATATTAACAATGTTATGGATGCATAATGACTTTCCTCAAAGTGGATCAGAGGAGTAAAGGATAAATTGATTAGGGAATGACTTATAATTGTCACAACTATTTTAACTATTATGTGAATTGTGTTTTAAAGGGCTATTACGTAGACCTCTTATTTCGATTATAGTGTATTAAATATATTACGAGAAAATAATGATCTATAACCTATTTAGCACTATGATATTATACCACTGTAAGATATTAGTGTTATTTTATCAAAGAGTTAAATGTAATTAACTATAATTTATGTTACAAAAGAAAATTTTATACTTCAGATGAATATAAAAATGAAGATAAAACTATTTGGAACAAAGACGTTGTTGGGACTTTTCCTTTAAACACGACAAGTGTACGAGGTTTGTTGCAAGTAATAACCAGTAGAGTACTGGAGCATCCTCCTTAGGGAGCAATTCAAATGTATTAATTAATAAGATACAAATTAATTGAGCTTATAAACAATAAAATTGATAGATGATTTTCATGAAATGTTGAATAACAATTTAAATGTAAAGCAATAATATAAAATATGGTAAAATTAAAATTAAAAAACTGGGATTGAATTTCATCTATCTCCCTCTGTATTCTAGTAATTCAACTACAATAACTATTTTAATGAATTTGATGCAAAATACGAAAGTCCTATATTTCAATTCCTTGAAAATATATTTCTAAGATAATTTCTCAAATGTTAATTCATTAAACAGTTAACAAACTATCTAACATTATAATCAGGATTTAAAAGCAATCAATAACTTGAAATTTATTCCTAGAGTAACTAGTTATTAAGTAATCTTAATCAGATCTAGATCTAAATAATATTTTTCTAAATATAACTCAGATCTAAGCTCTAGAAATCATCAAATAGATAGATTCAACCATGAACACGGATTTAAATAACCAAAATAATAGAAATAAAGAAGAAACATCTATATTTATATAAATTACTGAGAATAGATCAAGTTTGTAGATTTACATTCAATCCCATACAAGGTTTAGCTGCTTATGGCAACCATAGTAACATGAATTGGGACATAAACGGAGTAGAACATCAAAAACTGAGTATTCCTACTCTTTTCCTCTACTCTGCGCCACTCTCCCTCTCTAAAAATTGATGTGGAACAGTAACTGTTCTTCTAAACATAAAAGTCGCCTTTTATATTGGTCTGCTCGAACTTCTTTCGCTATAGTGACACATTCTCGCTGTAACGAGACATGGAGATAGAAATTAGGTCATTTTGTTTCCCTTTCGCTGCAGTGATGCTTCTCGCTATAGCAAAACAAGAAACTCTCGCTACAATGACACATTCTCGCTGTAGCGAGAGGAGCACAGATTCACCCTCTCCACAATAAAGCATTCTCGCTACAGCGAGAAACCTCTAAAAGCTAACTTTTCTGCAACTTCATGCTTTAAATGCTCTTTTTCTAACTTTTTTCAATCTTCAACTTTAATTAATGTCTCTCATTTGATTCCAGCTAGAAAATAGATCAAAAAGGAATCAAAACACTACAATTGCATTCTTTTCTTGAAATATACAAGTATTTGTAAAAGTTCTAAGTTTAAGGGAAATTTAACAAAATAATTCAACTTTTAACATGAAAAGTGTTCAAGTCATTATCTCAAATCACTTATTTTATACAATTATCACTCCCCCCAACCTAGAATCTTGCTTGTCCTCAAGCAAAGTAATTGAATGCACAAAAAAATTTCAGAAGAAACCTTTGAAATTGGTTTGAGATAAAATCAATCATCTTTGCTTCCATGTTCATCATCTAAGATTTTTCAGAACTTTTCAACTAAAGGGAATTGTTCATGATCAAGAATTTTGGTTATCCATTTAAAAGAATCAAGATGCTAATACACTTCATTTTCAAGAAAATAAGAGCAACACCATTCAATAATCAAAAGACAAATATTCTCATTCTCACAAATTTAGTGTTTCTCTCACTTTCTTCAATGAATTCCTTAAGTTTGGCTTTGCTCTTTGCTTCTCATCAAACTAAGTACACACAAAGGACATAGATTATATGGTCTTTCAAAAAGGTTGTAATGTGGCTAGGCTTATAAATAATTCATTGTTTTTCTAGAATTCAAAGTGAGTTAGAGCATTAATGTAATCAAGATCACCATCCATTTGTTGGTTTTCATCTCTATTATTCCTCACTCTAATTAACACCACATTTTTGTTAATCCTTGGATGTCTCCTTATAATTTCAACATTTTTCTTTTCTTTTGTCACATTAATTTTCCTTCTTTTTAATTTTCTTCTTTTCTTTTTTCTAGAAGGAAACTCCAATTATTCATTCATTTACCATGCACAACCAACTCATATTTTTGCAAAAACAACATTCAAGACCTATCATGCCCTAATACTCTTCCTCAATGGTATAGGAAATGATAATTTTTGAGGTATCTACATTTTCCAAAAAATTTACTTTTAGGCTCAAGGGCTTCCAAAAAAAAAAAAATTGGATAAACTTTGAATATGGGTTGACTTTTTGCCTCTAGCTATAAAACTGTATTTACAAACTATGCCACAATCATCTCTATGACTAATTGTGCTTTATAGCAATTAGAAACTAGAGCAAAGTTAACTGCCAAAATTCAGTGAAGTTTATTCACTTATTTACGACACTCACACTTTCACTCCTTTATCTGAAATCATTTTTCTTTGATTAAAATAAATGAATTGTTCAAACTTTCTAATTGATTGTTTCTATGTATAAAACACCCTTTTTCTTTGATTTTTCAAAACAATTCCTAGATTCAGAACATGGCCCATTTAAGTATCTCCAACCACTTTCCACAAAATAAATGGTACTATATTCAAAAATCAAAAAGGAGTTTTTCAAATCATTTTCTAACAACAAAAATTTTCAGTAACTTCACCAAGTAGTACTCATCATCTAATTCTATACCATATATTCACATTATCCAAAATAGAAATGCAACCCAAAACTAAAACACAGTCAATTACCACATAAACAACAAAATAACAAAGCAAAATTTAAAAAAAAAAACATAAACTAAATATAAAAATGTCCCTTAATTCTCTTCTTTCCTCTCTGAAATAATTTTCTCTCTAATCTTCCTCTTCCATGTTAGCTCCAGCATCATTATCATCTTCGTCATCTCCATCTTCGTCATCTACTGCTCCAGATGATCCTACCCTTCCCTAGAAGTGTGGCATGTCCCCAGGCCACTGCTGGTAGGCTGCAAACTTATCTAAGCTAATCCATATGTGTTGGCCCAGATATTGCAGCTGAGCCTGATGGTGGTAAGCATGTTGTTGATGCATCTGGCCCCTATGGATGACAGAATTCTGAAGAGCTAAATGGTCTAAGCGAAGCTCGAGATGGTGGAGGCGGTCTACAAAAGTTGAGTCATCCTGTCTGCTGTATGCTGCCTATTTTAGTGGCTCTTCAAGCTGAGGCTGAGGTTGTGGTGGTGGAGCTCTAAGCTGATCCTCTATGCAATGGTTCTAAATATAGGCTAGGGTGATTGGAAGCTTAATAGGTTCTACAAATTGAATAACCCTCACTCCCTGAGCCTAACATAATGTAGTGATCAATGTCGGGTACCCCAATGAGCCACTCTCTCCTCTCTTGATCACAAATCTATAAATTTCATCTGTGATGATGCAGGCTACATCCACAGATCCTCCTCTTAGTATGTTGTATAAGAGGTAGTAGTACTTCATGGTCATAGATGAAGTGTGAGCTCTGGAGACTATATTATGGCATATGAAGGTAGTCCACACTTGAGCTAGAGTGGTCATGTTCTTCCTATAAATTCTCAAAGCTTTTCCTTCTGAATTTGTGATGTAACTCCTGTTTGCAATACATAAGACTTGAGCAGTGACATAGTCACTGAAGGGCTAGATGCATGAATTGAGCTTGGTGTGGAAGAAATTTGTCTCATTCTCCTCCAGCTGCAACGGGTTCCCCAAAAAATTATTGAGGACATCCCTGGAGTAGTCAACCCAAACTCCTCTCACCCTAGACCTTGTATCAAGCCTTCTTAAATTAAAATCTAGTTTAACATTGGCATAAAACTCTTTAACAATTTCTGGGTCATAGTATCCTCTCAGTTCAACCAATATTCTTCATCTTCACCTTTCAATGTCATTGTTGAATTCATCAAACTCCCTTTCCTTCAAGTCCACTCTCCTTTCCTTAATAATTAACCAATCTTAAATCTCTTTGAATCTATCCTCTCTGTCCTTGTCTCTAAATTTCCTCAGATCGGATGGTGGTGGTTGTGAAGAAGAGGTTCCTTTATGTTTCTTGATGGAGGAGTTAGGTCCTTATGAGCTCTAACTTTGATTCTCTTGAAACATCAAGATAGCAACCACACAACTTAATAAATTATCACAGAATAGTCAATTATGTGTGAACAACAATTCTATTTTCAGCAAATTCACTCAATAATTCCATCCAAAAATTAAGACAACATGCTTCAATCAAAGTATCTCAAGTTGTAATCAATTATAAACATTTAGCTATACCAAATACAAAGAAAATCCAATTCACAATATCATGACCTTTTTCCTTGCAACATGAACACCACAATTGAAGTTCTAATTTTCAAAACACATGGTAAATCAAACTACTCTAATTTGAAAATTAAGAACTAAATTATATGCACCCACATTGCTGAAATTCCAAATCCAAAATATATCCCTTTGCAAGTAGTAATTCATATTTTAGGGTTCACAAAATCAGGAAAATTAGAAAAATTGATACCTAAGGAACTGCCATTCTCAATTATCCATAAAACCCTAGTAACATTCCTTCTAAGTGACCCTATTTCTGCATTTCACAATCCTAATTTTCAAAATAACCTAATTAAAAACCTAGGGTTCATGAAGAATTGATGTATTTATACCCAAAATGCCACTGTAATCAAGTTCCTTCCAATTTCACAATCACATTATAACCCTAAGTATTAATATTCCACCTTTCAAGGTTTTAGGGTTTAAGAACCTTAGCTTCACATTCTAAAAATCAACACAACACCCTGAATCATCACTCTCACAACAACAATCTCTACTTTCAAACATCATTTTCCATAAATCTTCACAAAATGAGAAGAACTTGAAGAGAAGGACCAAATTTACATGAGATAAGAAGAGAAACCACTGACCCTTGACTTATTGTGCAGATTTCTTGAGTGAAAAAGATTGAAAGTTGGTTAAATAGTGACAGGGAAAGGGATTGGAGAGAGTTGGAGGGAAGAGGGCGTGTTTAAAATATAAAAATGGCCCTATTCACCTCAGTTCAAAAATAGGGTCGCGAGCCTTTCGCTTCAGCGACACTCTCTTACTGTAGCGACCTCTCTTCAAGTTACTTTCGCTACAGTGAGGGGTCTTTCGCTGTAGCGACAAGGCAATAGTTTCAATGGTTTTTCAAAGTGTTCTCTCACTACAGCGAGCGAGAGTCCCCTCGCTGTAGCGAAAATATCAGAAAATTTTGTGCAATTTATCTAGTTTTTAGCTGTACCGAGAGGGGTCTTGCTACAGCGACAGAGTTCTCGCTATAACGAGTGGTCTCTTCCTATAGCGACAATCTCACAGTTTAGCTTCTATTTTTCACTCATCTCTCGTTGTAGCAACAAGCTTACAGTTTGCTTCCCCAAACTCATGTTAGCACACTTCTAACCTCATCATTCTCCATTCTTTTTCACCCCTTAATCACTCTATCAATAAAAACCAATTCACTTAACATCCAGCACTCAAGTTCACAGCAGAATAGGAACGAATACCTTGAATTATACACAAAGTCACAAAATACCAAGTTAACATCCTAAACAACTAATAAACACTTAAAAACAAGCAAACAAACAACATAAAAGGTAGAATTTCACAAACAAACACTGGGTTGCCTCCCAGGAAGTGCTTGTTTAACATCTCATAGCTTGATGCCTGTTACTTTAAGGATCATGCAGAGAAATATGGGTGGTGAGTCTCTCCACTTCACCACCTAAATATGGCTTGAGCCTTTGTCCATTGACTATCCAGCTTCTCTAAGTAGCTGGATCTTGTAATTCCACAGCTCTGTAAGGCTTCACCTCCTTCACAAGAAATGTTCCTGACCATTTTGATTTCAATTTTACAGGGAACAACTTCAACCTGGAATTAAACAGAAGTACAAATTAGCTAGGCCTGAATTCTCTCTTAAGGATTTTCTTGTCATGATAGTATCTTTTCCTTGTAAAGCTTTGAAAACTCATATGCCGTGAAGTCTCATTTCTTCTAGTTCTTGCAATTGAAGCTTCCTCTTTTCATCTAAAGCCTTTGGATCAAAATTTAGGAACTTCAAAGCCCAAAATGCTTTGTGCTCAAGTTCCACTAGCAGGTGATATACTTTCCCATAAACAAGTTGAAATGGGGAGAGACCTGTAGGAGACTTGTATGCAGTCCTATATGCCCAGAGTGCATCATCCAATCTCAATGACTAATCTTTCCTTGAGGATGTTACAGTTTTCTCCAAAATCCTTTTAATTTCTCAATTAGAGACCTCAACTTGACCATTTGTTTGGAGATGATAAGGTGATGCTACCTTGTGCCTTACCCCATAATGCTCTAGGACCTTCTATATTTGAGAATTACAGAAATGAGACCCTCCATCATTGATTAGTACCCTTGGTGTGCCAAACCTGCAAAAGATGTTCTTCTCAGGAATTTTATTTCAGTTTTGGCATCCTCATTCTGAGGTGCGATAGCTTCGACCCATTTTGATACGCAGTCTACTGCCACCAAGATGTACTCATTTGAATATGAAGTTGGAAGTGGTCCTAGAAAATCTATTCCCCAATAGTCAAAGACTTCTACCTCTAGGATGCTTGAAAGAGACATTTCGTGTCTTCTTGAAATTCTGCCTGATTTTTTTACAGTTATTGCATTGTTGGACATAATTATGTGCATCTTTGAATAAAGTGGGCCAATAAAATCCCGATTAGAAGACTTTTGCAGTAGTCCTCTCTCCATTGAAGTGCCCACCATAGGGAGAACTATGACAATGCCACAATATGCTTTGGATTTCATCTGATGCAACACATCTTCTTAAAAGCTCATCAGCTCCCAGCTTAAAAAAAAAAGGATCATCCCAGACATAATACCAAGCATCCCTCAAAAATTTCTTCTTTTGATGCCAATCGAAATCTTTAGGTATAACAGTTGCTGCTTTGTAATTAGCTATGTCTGTAAACCATGGCCTTTCTTACACCAAGAGAAATTTTTCATCTGGAAACTCCTCTATCACTTCTATTTCCTTGCTGGTCACCTCCTAGTACACCAATCTTGATAGATGATCAACAACAAAATTTTCACTACCCTTTTTGTCTTTAATAACTAAATCAAAATCTTGGAATAACAAAATCCATCATATCAATCTTGGTTTTAAATAAGATTTAGTTAATAAATATTTCATTGCAGCATGATCAGTACAAATTACAACTTTGGAACCTTTAACGACGACGACAACCGTGACCGACAATCCTACTACTTTTAAATAACTTGACGTGTAATGTATACATATTGCTATTAAGAGTCTTGGACCAAATGGGATTTTTTTTTTTTGAAACATGAGTGCATAGGATTATTCAACCTGGTTTATGGATACCATTATCATTCCCGAGTATTGAGAAACTTGCTTCTGCTATAATTTAATGTGACACGTGGTCACGTCATGGATCTTGATTCTTCATGCACCTGATAAGCAACATTTTATAAAGATTCATGTCATACTCTTATTACTAATAATTACTCATGAGATTTTGTTTTCTTCATTTACTCATAGTTTAGAAAATCATAACATTAGTAAGTACCACTTGAATAATATAGCCATACCATGTATTGACATAACTATACAAGTGGACTCCAATCTTTTTCACCTGCTCATGAGCCAATTACTAATAATATGAGATACAACATGTGGTTTATCACTTCAACTAGAACTCTCTTATGGGACGAACCCACAAAGTTCACGTTCATTACCTGAATGCATTGAAGAACCAACTTTTCTACCTATTTCATTCCATCCAAATAAAAATCAGAAGATAACTGATAAAATAAACCTTGTCATATAATAATCCCATAATTATCAAAAGTAATCGCAATTTATCCAAGAATCTTAAAACACAATCCACGAACATCAGAGTACCAAAACAAAGTACTAGTTTTGCTACTAAATAAAATATAAAGTATCGAATTCTCCACCGTACAACAAGAGGAGTCCCTTAGCAGTGGACAACAAAAGAAATAACAAAACATCGGTCAGGACTCCTTGGAAAGGTCCTCTTCTATCTCCTTGGTATCTAAAGGATCCTCTTCAAATTAAGCTCAACGTGGAGAATAAGATAGAGAAAGGTCATCCTCAAGATCTGTGACAACTAAAAGAAAATGTCCAACACCACAACATATTTCAACAAAGAAAAGAAGGAATGAGATATATATTTTC